TTGAGGGATGTTTAGGGTTTAGGGTGTAGGGTTGAGGAATGTTTAGGGTGTAGGATTTAGGGTTTAGGGTTTAGGGATGTCTAGGATTTAGGGTTTAACACTCATGTTTAGGTTTTAGGGTTTAGGGATGTTTAGGGTTTAGGGTTATACTAGGGTTATATTAGGGTTATATCAGGGTTATATCCGTGTTATACTAGGTTTATATAAGGGTTATCTTAGGGTTTATCTTAGGGTTATCTTAGGGTTATATTAGGGTTATATCGGGGTTATTTTGAGATAGTGGAAAATAAAATGGAAACTACCATTTAGGGTTCAGATAGTGTTCTTGGCAGACCATGGTAGCCCGCAACACACTTGCCATAGGCAAGTTGCACTGATTTTTACGGTGTGTCAGCCTAGCATCTCTGCAGAAGGAGTGTGGAAAGTTTTGCCCCAACGAGAGATTGGTTCTTGACGTCTGTCACGGCACTCCATCCCAAATCCCTGCCTCACAAGTTCAGTCTGCACCTGTAGGCACCTTCTCTGAATGGGAGCCTCTGCCCATGAAGAAGGCCTGCCAGTGTTTTCGCGCGCACGGCTTGGCATGATGATAAGGATTTTGCTTGGCATCAGCTTAGCGGAGGGTACTGATGTATTCAGAGCCATGCATATGAATGGTGTTCCCACCTTTGCAGCTGCCATGCATGTACGCAATTTTGAAGAAAATTCGCTCCAAAGATTGACTGTAGCTGTTGGATGTGGGGTGCGTTGTACTGGGACTATTCCTACAAATTTTGAGCCCGCCGCAGCGGAAGCGGTACAGCGTGAGCCAGAATTCTTGACCATTGCCACACTACATCGCAGCAAGCCAAAGCACCAACCTGCCTTGACCTAGGCCTCATGGTTTAAGGGTTTTGGGTTTAGGGATTTAGGATTTAGGGATTAGGGATTTAGGGTTTAGGGTTTAAGGATTTAGTGTTTAGGGATTTAGGGTTTAGGGGTTTAGGGGTTTAGGGTTCAGCATCTCCATTCTGACACTTGAACAATAACGGGACTTTGGTTCTTGTTGTAGTCCTACTGCCTGTAGCATACAACAGCGAAGATGTTACCAAATGTTTCCTTAGCCTTAGACATGCTGCTGAATTCTCAAACTTGGGGGGCCCTTCACAACCCTTGGGAACATGTAAAGATGCGAGAGGGATATGGGGGTTGGGGATTGTATTTTTCTTACAAGCCCTCAAAACTAAACCCTAATCCCAAAACCCTAAAGCCTAAAACCCCAAATACCCAAAAACCTTAAACCCTAAAACCAAAAACATCTGGCCCTAAACCCTAAACTCTCAAGCCCATATAAACTTACCATTACTGAAGATTCTCAAATTTCCTTAATCTCCGCATCTTAAATTTTCAAAATTAAAGATCCGCCCCCAACCCCTAAGTACTGGTAATAAACCCTAAAACCCTAAACCCTAAACCCTAAACCTAAAACCCTAAACCAGACTTTTTGTCAGGAAACCGAAGGCCTCTTCACCTGCTCGGTCACCCTGGGCGAGAACAGGCCAGGCTTGTCAGAACAGCCCGGTTCAAAGGGTTGCGGTGATAAGCTCACATACATATGAGCATATATGAGCTATAGTCTAAACTCCGTAAAGGGGTTATGTAAGGTTTAAGATCTTAACTCTGTAAAAGGGGGCTATATAGGGGATTACATAGGGGAGTAGGGGCCATTAAGGGGGATAGGAGTTTAGACTATAGCTCATATTATGTGAGTTTCCGACAATTAGGGGTCCTTCTTGAGAGTCTATATTTGATACCCCCCATTTACCAAAACTACCGCGCATGTACAGAGTTGACGGTTGCAAGTTTTCCGCCGCTGGGTTTCCCCAAAATCTCAGAATTCAGGGTTCCCTTTGTGTGGCACGGGTTCTTTGCATTACAGGATCTTGAATTTTGGAAAGATCCACTGGTATGGAAAGGAGACTGGAAATTGCAGAATTACATTGTCGTTTCCATTTTCCATTCAACTTAGCATTTTCCATTCAAATTAGCACTGGAACAGGAGTGAGCACAAGCTTGAATGGCCACTGGTCTTAAGTTTCCATATATCAAAACTTGCTAGCATATCATTACTCCAAACCCTATCCTACACTTCTATACCATGTTCTCGCCATTTTAGAACAAGTTGCACGTGGTCTTCGCCAATGCTGTAGGGATCTTCGTGACATCAGCAGTAACCGACATTTCAAGCTTAAGGCACCTGCGCAAATCAAGAGAACTGATTACGATCTTGCAGGATTCAGGACTGCAAATGACTGCTAGCGCATGTGATTCTCATAGCATGCTTTGATTCGCAGGTGGGAGCAGTTCCAGATCTGGCTGGATGGTGATTCCACGAAGTGCCTTGGATCTGGCTTCGGGCCTGACACATGTGAATTACATTCTGTTCTTCTCATCTCTCGTATGAGATTCGGACCAAAGTGCACTGGCAATGAAACGGACTGTGATAGTGTTCTCTGTGTGCTTGTCATTTGTCTTGTGATCCAAAGCAGTGCAGCACGCTGGTACCATCTGGTACCTGAGCCCCTTATAACATCACGACAAGGTTCAGTCAGTGGCCTTGCTCTCTATGCGACACATTTTGGACGGCTCACGACTGAAGCTTAACTAAGTCTGAGGGCCCTGCAATCAAATCGCTATGCACTATGCACCACCAGCAACCAGCCTAGGCTGTATACTCTGCATCTAGCAGGATGCTTGTAGCTCCTGTTGCCCGCAAATTATGCGCTTTGCGGCCCCCATGGCACGCCATTCGTACACCCAAACTTTGTGTGGAGTGCTGTTTGCCACTCATTCCACTGAAGCCAGGTGCTTGTATCCGGAGCAGCACAAGGCCCATTCAGACTTGATTGAGGGTAGTACTCAATGAAGAGTGGTTGGCGTCGTCATGGTGTTGGTGGTGGCCGCGGTGGTAGCGGGAGCTATCAGCATAGACGCCACCAGCAGCGCAGGGATTTGCGTTCATGGGAGGCTTGGGATTGGTGCGGTTTGGTGACAGGCATTTTGGGCTGGTGTTGGCATTTTGGATCGCACCATTCAGGGAAACAGCCACCACAAAACCTCTTTATTGTAGTTTCCATTTTCTTTTCCATTATCCCCACATAACCCCTATATACCCCCAGATCACCCCCGATTGCCAAGTCCAGCTCAAAACCAACAGCCCATCAGTCCGACAGCCTTTCGGCACCTTCACACACCCCTTGACCGTCTTAATCCAAAACACCTCAACCATCTCCACAATTTGCGTTCTTTCTACCCACGCCCAAGCTTATTTGAAGGGTGAAAGGGGGCCTGCTACTCAGCATACAGGAAGCAACTAAGAATTCCAGAAGTACCTGTATACCCAGAGCAAAAGCTTCAAAACTTTACATAGCATCTCCAGCGCCGCACGCCCAAACCCTTCCAGGAATGGCTCAGTCCTTGAATGCCAAACGCACCTGTTCACCATAAACTGTACTAAGCTGAAGAGGATTTTCGGGTATTTCCAAAGCAAAGTAGTCAAGCCACGACAGACCCTGCAGGCGCCATCCAAGTCGGCGGTCTTTGGTCCGGATTTCGATTCTGGAGGCCCTTGCGTAGTCTTCATGCCTGTCCTTTAGCAGAAGTGACTCATAGCAATCACAAGAGCACTGGGCAGTATCAGCTGTATCAAGCAGTCAGGCACAGCCGCCACCATCACAAACTGCAGCAGCAGCAGCGCTTTTGTTGTTGTCAGCAACAAGAAGAAGGCAATGAGAAGAAACGTAGTACCACTAAAACAACCGATCCACCAAGACTGCTGCTGCCGCTGCAACTACTGCTCTTCCTGCTGCAGCTACTACTGCCGCAGAAACTATTGCTGCTATTATTGCTATCATTGCAACACCTTTTATCATTCCTACTCCTCCTGCTACTGCCACTTCTCCTGCTGCTGCTGCTGCTGCTGCTGCTGCTACTGCAACTACTACGACTACTACTACTACTACTACTACTGCTGCTGCTGCTGCTGCTGCTGCCACTACTACTCCTCAGAAGAAGTCGCATCATGATTAGTATTCTTACGAGTAGTGGCTAGTAGGAGGAGGAGCAGCACCAGTTGCGTTTCCATAATGATCTCAAGCTTCAAGGTTACCATGGCATTCCGTTGCCTTGTTTGTCATTCGTAGTCCCATTGCCTCGTCACTTGGAGCTTGGAGGAGGAGGTGGTGGTAGTGGTTTAAGCAGTGACGCCGCTGCTAGTGCTCCTCGTATTGCTGCTGCTGCTGCTGCTGCTGCTGCTGCTGTTCTCGTTCATTTCCTTCCGACCGCTCCTATACTCATCATGGTCATGACCATATCGATGGTCATTATCGTCTCTCTTCACCGTTCTAGTGTAGCTATTCCATGTACATAACGCTTTTTTCTTGAATTTCATTCCGCCCGCATGGCCCCTCCCCCAAAGTTTCAGGCAACTGCTGGCTTCTGGATGGCCGACCTCAGGCGGAGCTGCGCCTGAGGCCCAAGGCCAGGAGCAGTCACAGAGGCAATATGGCTATTAGATCCCTCATTAAACTAACTCTTGTCAACCCTGGCTCGCTTTCCTGCCGTATATTCAACTTTCGACGGACATGTCGATATTTGCACACATGCGGCTTCTGTCCAAAATCATTGGACCAGTCTTGCCACCGCCTCCCCACGCATGCATCCGGAAGTGCCTATTGTTGGTTTTCAGCGCATGGGTTAGAAACTCAACAGCCTCACTTCCAGATCCAAAAGCTGAGGAACCCGCAAACCTCAAACCATCAAAACCTCAAGCTCTAAATGGGGTTTAGGGCTTAAGGGTTTAGGGTTTAGGGTTGTGGGTTTAGGGTTTAAGGGTTTGTTTAGGGTTTAAGGGCTGAGGGTTTAGGGTCTATGTTACCTGAGCTAGTTAGCATGCTAGTATCAACAACGGCACGCACTGTTGCAATATTGGTTTTCGCCATAGCCACAGGACGAAGAAGAGCCATTACGACAACAATGATGTGGGTATTGATATGGAGAATGGTTATAGACACATTCCAAGTATGGCATATTGACATCAGTAGACCACTATTCACAACAGTCATGTGGTATTCGCAACAGTCAGCGTGATGCTTCTACTGACCTTGATGTGTGTACGGACACGGGTACTGACACTTGCAGATGTCGATCGTTATCGGCCTTAAAAGAAGAACCGCAGATCTCAGCACGAAGAAGATTTACAGTAGCCATGGGGAGTTAGATCAATGATAAACACAATCAGCAGGGGCCCGCGGGATCGGCCCCTGGAGCTGTGGAGGAGGCAGGTTAGCCCTGGCTTGGTACAGGAAAGCCTTGTAAGAGTTCCTCAGTTTCAGTAGTAGATGTGTAGGTTTCAGGGCGCTGTGCTGTGTAGTAGACGTGTTGGTTTCATGGGCACTGTACTGAGGGCATGGAAGCCTGGTGTAGGAGTTGTGATTTGAAGGCTCCTTGTGGCAGAGACTGTAGGTGGCTGAGGCTGCATGGGCTTTGCCCAAGTATGGTAGTTCCCTAAGTCAGGAAGTTATGCTCAGCTAGCAGCAGCATTTCGGATTTGTATTATGGATAACCCAGCCATTTAACACGCAGTTCAAGAAGAGGGCATGCCATTTTGGACTTACGAAGTTTGGAAGCCGGAAGGCCACGGGGCGCGGTCTCGCTGGCTCCTCCTGGAAAGTGCGGCTGTCAATCAACGGGTCTGGAGCCCGGATGAGAGAGGAGCGGAGGAAAGAAATACGACGTAGCTGAAGCCCAATTTTGGTTTCTGATTTTTGGGGGTTTGGGGCCCAGGTTGCGGAGGACATGTGGTGCTGGGGTACTTCATGGGGTACAGATAGAACATAGACTTCGTCAGCGGGATGGAGTTGAGGGAGCTCGCCGCGAGTAGGAGCTTGTGCAGCCTGCAAGCAACCGGCACTATCATCAACAGGTTCCCCAATCACTTCAATCTGAAGCTCCAAGAAGAGCCTCAACACCAACTGAACCAGCATAAGTTTCGTAAGCCTGAAGCCCGGGCACCCAGAGAGAGACCTGGCGCTGAGGAAGTGGCGGTTGGTGGACCTGCGCTCAGTGGTAAACAACTGACTTGCTAATGCCAATATGGGGGTCTCTCAGAATCATGCGTCACTTGTGCGGCTTCTCAGGAAAAGAATAACACTATAGGGTGCCTGTCTGGGAGCCTTCATACATGGACCGGTCTTCGTGTTGGGTCCTCGTCCGTTGGAACTCCAGATCTCCGATACAGGGCATTGGGCTTAGACTCGCATCACTCTTGGAATCCTTCTGCGCCGGCCGTTTCTGAATTTTCATGCTGATTTACTGCCTTCCAGCATGGCCATTTTGAGTTCAACCTCTGTCGGAAACCTTAGGCACCACTGCTTATTCTGATAGTTGCTGGGAATCTACCAAGCTCAACTCCAACCCCAACCCCTAACCTAAAAGCATAGCCTCAAACAACAAATCCTAAACCCTTTGACGACGTAGGCCCTGATCCGCTCCTCGCTGAGGATTGGGAGCGGTTAGACGAGCCCTTGGTGGCGGCAGCGCCTCAGCAATTTTTTTCTTATAGAGATTGGGCATCGAACAAGGCTTTTCTGGGTTCATGTGGGAGTAGTATACGGGGTTCTTTTACACAAAGCTACCATGACAATCCCTCCAAGCGCGCAGTAGTCTTGGTAGGGCCTCTTTCAGCTTCGTGTTGGACTGCAGAAGAGCAGTACATAGGGGTTGTACGCGGAATCTGCCGGAATTGTGTAGGAGTGCCGGTAGGGATGGATCGCAAAGAGGTCCCCTGGAACGTATAGATGGGCCAGGAGTCAGATGGTGTCATAGATACGGATCTTTAAGGAATTCTCTCTAGGATTTAGGGATGTGTTTTCTGACCATCTGCCGAAAGGACCGCGGTCCACTTGATTCCTTGAGGTGTCTGCAATGTTTAGCTGTTACCCAAAAGCGCAAGAAAGAGGATGGGCTTCGCTTGGAGTGTCCCAGACGCAGACGGGGCTGGGCTGCTGTTCAAGAAAGTTACCAGGGTTTGGATACATGATAAATGATAGGTTTTCCTTATCATGCTAATTCAATTCCAGCGGCTTGGGAGCTGCTGCCAAGGAAGACCTGAAGAAGGGCGCCTATTTCATCACCGCGGACTTCAACGGCTGGGGCATTGACCCTCAGCTGAAATGTGTCAGGCTTTTGCGTGATGCAAGGAGTTTGCGGATCTGGGAGTGAAGAGGAGTTGGGCTTCAAAGGTGGATGAACCTTGTTGTTTGTCAACTTGCATCAGGCCCTTGCAGAGAGTCAGCAGGCCCCCGTTGTTGCCTTATGGTCGGCATCTTCTGTGCGTGGATCAAAGACACCTTGTTGTTTGGATATGCCTTGTGACATTATACAAAATCGACGGCGGAGATCCCCGTGTTTAGGGAGCTCGCAAGGTGTAAAAGATAACTTTGCAAATTTGTTCAAGCCTTATTCACACGCCTTTCTTTGTGTTTGCCCTGGCCGATCCCCCCTAAACAAAACATGAATGCATCAGGGTAAGCCCATTGCCCGAGCGACGAAGGAGCCCATGGAACAGCAAGCTGATGGCAGCTGGGCTCTGGAGGTTCATCTCATCCGCCCAGGCGGCAGGGAGCGCGAAGCAGAAGGGCGAAGGGTTTTTTGGAGTGTCGTATCGAAAGGAAACAAGAAGGGACAGTATGTCAGAGTTCCGGATGGTCTCAACAGACCCTGCATGATTTGGTGTTTTTGGCAATGGCACTCAATCTGCTGTGTTGTGGAGGGGTATCCAGGCAAGAAACACGCAAGGAGGCCGTCCCGTGCATAGATGCCATGGTGCATCGAGGCAGCGGCTCGAGTCTTTTGACATGCAATGCCATGGCAAGGGCGTGCAAGACATCTCACTTGTTGCGCAGTTTCGTGGTCCTGGTCTCATGCCTTGCTGGCTCCTTGCTCTCTTGGGGCCTGGGAGCGTGCGCGCCGCAGTGGTGGCGCAAGGGTTCCCCGCGGCTGCTGTTGGGGAGCGTTGCAGAGGCGGAGCTTTTATCGCATCTGGCAGTGCTGCTCCAACCTCAGGAGCCAATCAGGGAGCTTTTTCGGAGCTTTCCCATCAAGCCGGACAAGGATTGGGGAACGCCCTGGCTCAGCCCGGACTTGGCTGTCTATGGCGCCTTGAGGGAAAAGGAAGCAGCCTTGTTTGTGGAGTATGACGGGTACTACCAACACTTGGACAAGCTGGGTCTCAAGCGAGACCAGCGAAAAACTCAAGCTCTGCTAAAGTACGCACCAAGAGGGTCCAGGGTCGTGCGCATTGCCCATGCCCACCGAGCTTTGGAGGCTGGGGGAAAGCTGCAGGAAGTGGTAGTGGATCCATGGCGAGCAATGGATGCACGGTCGCTGCTGGTCTGCTTGCGCCAGGTGGCCTGCTCTTTGTTGGACGGCTTCGGTGGGGAACTGCAGCCGTGGTTACAAAAGTCTCTGCGTAGGCTTCTTTGCAGGGTACCAGACGATAGCTTCCGTACTGCGCGCGCTTTTGCGACGAAAGCGGACGTGGCGGGCGGGGGAGCGTTGGCAGCTAGGCAGCTGCAACAATTTTGCCAAGAAGGTTTGCAGCTGCCAGGAGACAGGGTCGACAGCTATTTTGAAGAAGCAATGGATGAATCCATGAAGTGCATAGAGGGGCCCAGCAGAAACACCTTGCAATGGCTCATTTCCTTGGGCTTGCGCAGAGCGCAGGTGGCAAAAATGGTAGCAGTTTGCCCAGCTGTATTGGGATGTAGTATTGGAGCAAATCTGAAACTCGCCGTGGAGTGGCTGCACTCATTGGGCCTGAGCAGATCGCAAGTGGTCAAGATGCTTGCTGGTTTTCCATCAGTCTTGGGATACAGCATCGAGGCAAATCTGAAACCCACCGTGGAGTGGCTGCACTCACTGGGGTTGAACCAGGCCAGCGTGGCCAAAGTTGCTATTGGTCGTCCCACAGTGTTCGGATACAGCATCCACTCCAACTTGAAGCCAGCAGCAGAATGGTTCCAGTCCTTGGGGCTAAGCAGAACAGACGTGGGACATTTGCTTGCGAAGTCACCTCTCTTGCTGGGACGCCGCATCGAGGCGAACCTTGCCAGCAAGGCTCGACTTCTGAGAAGCTTTTTAGGAAGACAAGGCTTCCTGCAAACGCTACAGCAAAATCCCAATATCTTGGTGTATTCGCTGGAGCGCCTGCATGCTCGGCTTCTGGTCCTCCAACGAGAGAAGCAGCTGGAGAACTTGGTTCTGGCCATGAGATTAGACAACTCGACGTTTGCTCGGCGCTTCTCTGAAAGCTTGAGCGGTTGAAGCATGCGTGGCGCGAAATTTGGGAAACTTAGTGCACCAGGAAGCAGCAACAGCCGTGATCAGCACGAACATTCGTTCTCAGAGCTACCCACATTGTTGCTTGTGGCTGGAGTTAGTGCCTTAGGAAGGCTCAGCCGAGATTCAAAAAGTTGAAAAGCTCAAGACTCTTCTACAAATGCTTCTCATTAACACCTTTGTCAACCGTGTCTTTCTCTGGACCATGCCCTATGCAGTTTGAATTCTGAGCTTGAAAGCCGCCAGCGCAGCTTAAACTTAGGGCCGTTGCATTCACAAGTCCTTATCTGGAGACGTAGCTAGCTGGAGCTCTTGTCCTAAGCTGCCTACAGTACCTTCCACTGGTGCCCAAACTTGGGTGCCTTGGTTACCGATCCGAAAAGGAGGAACCCGTAAGACAAAGAACTCAAGAAGCGGACCATGGCTCCTTGTTAGGAACCTCCCCAGATTCTTTTCCGGGCCGGAGCCGGGTTTGACAAGCTCTGACTTCCTGGCCCAAGACCCGTAAATCCGTTACTTGAAAGCCTTGACCCCCCCCCTCGGCCTAAGCACTTAGACAGCCAACATCCCGGTCACCCTCCAGCCCAGAACCCTGGACTGTCTCTGATTCCGTAAATGGTAGTTTCCCAAAATAAGGGGACCCCAGTTTAGATCCTAATATATTATAATCCTTATTATGGGGACCCCAAAAATGGTACCTCTAATTTTGGGAAACCCCCAGATTCTGTTCCTTTCTGCAGGTGGTCAGTTCCAGATCCTTCGGAACCGTGATTCGGAGCAAGTCCTGTGCCTTGGCTGATGCATGGAAAGGAGTCTTCTCAGAACCACTCTTTGGGTAGGCATGACGCGCAGGACTCCCAGGAAGAGTGAGGACAGATTGGGCAGATGATCCTGATACCGCCTCAAAAACCCACAGCAAGGCCTTGATCTAGGCGCAATGCGGAGTATGAAGTCCTCATATGCCCCAATCGGCCTCTTATTTCTTTGGGGGAGTCCTTATGTCACGGATTGTGGAGGGACACATGACTGATGGTTCCCGTTTGCATTTCAAGAAAGCTGTCGCGGCTTGATATTTTCTTTATAGCGTTGTGCCGTGGCTACCAGGCAGGAAGCTGGACAACTACACATTGGCAAGAAATGCTATATGTCTCCATTTTTCCTGTACAACCCGATTAGATCTCTCAGGTGGAATCCTATGCGACCCTATAAACTCCATCCACAATCCTTTCAAACCTTGCAGAAACGTAAAACTGGACGCAGAATGTCTATACACCCCAAGAAGCGTAAAATCCCTAAAAACATCTTCATAGTCTAGCAGGGTATACGGCTAGTCCCTGCACCGTCCCGTATTATCCCTACATCACCTGTGTGCAGCCCTATCATGACCTCCATCGTGCAGTCCTGTAAGCTATTATGCAGCATATAGGCCCCACATCTACATGATCCCGCTATACTGCGCATTCCCAGTTTGTGCAACCTCATTCCTTCCTCCCTGATATGTTTGTCGAGGCCTTACAAAACTCCCACTTTTAGAGCCCTGAAAGCTAGCATCCTCCCCCCTTGGCCCTGACATAGCTCCCATCTCACAGTAGAGCTGACAAGGTACCCTGCTGCTTGGGCTGATCCCGACCCGTCGGCGGTGCGAGGCCCGGACGACAGCAGCGATGGCCGCTGCTGGCACCTCAAGGCCCACATCATACGCTTGATGAGGAGAAGCAAGTATACAACAACACCATGAATTTTAGGGCTTATCAGATCTGTGTACATAGGATTGTGAGGGGGCTAGCGTAGGAAGACATAAGAACCCATGTTTCAGCATGTTGAAATCATGTTTGGGAGTCATTTTATCAGGATCCTGTTTCTGGGGGGTAAGCCTCTCAAAGCCTCCAAAAGCTCTCGTGCCAGGGGGAGCAGTGCGATGTCTTCCGCGTTTCGTTTCAACGCAAAGTGGACACAGGTCTCGACATGTCTCTCGGCTACAGAACCGAGATATCTTTCCTAGATCCTGCACCCCTGAGCCCTAAAATCTAACCCTAACCCAAAACCCGTACAAAACCATCATATGCTTCTCACACTCACAGCATCTTTATGGAGACTTTGCAGAGCAGCACTGAACTGACAATTTCAAGTGATGTCCTTTACTCGCGATTCGGCTGTCAAAGGCTTGGTGTTTGTGCCCGTGGACCTGCCGCCTTTCAAAAACCACTGGCGTATAGGGTTTGCTATAGGGATAATGGAAAATAAAATGGCAACTATTATAGTACATTGGGGATTCTATAGGGTTTATGGATTAGGATTTAGGGTTTTAAAGCCAGTGAACAGTTCGCTGCTCGCAACGAAACGTCAAGTCTCCACAGCATGTGTGGTTGATCTACTGGTGGACGGATCCTCTTTTAAAAGGCTGCCAAAACAAAGGCTCTCTTGGCTTTGATATGTTTGGACGACTTCGTGAGGGAAAGGCTCAACAACAAATAGAACAGACTACGGAGGAATCCATTCACAGCCCCAAAAACCCACGTAGCCTCGTGAAGGAATCAATCAGGGATATTCACAAACTGCGAATCCAGATTTTCCAAGGGATTCCATGTTTCTGCCATCATGGTGCAGCCGGGGACTGGTAGTCTGCTAAGCAAAAGCTGGCTTGTCAAGGAAGCAAGTCTCCATCGAGCGCAAGGGCCAGAAGGATCGTCAGACATTCCTAGGGGTGTTTCGGAAGATTCGGGTACCTCTAGCTACCCGGCACGCCTCTCTTGCGGACCTTTTAGAAGCCCACGGCTCGGAGAATTATCCATCTCGTTGGCAGACCTAGCTAATTGAAACATGCGCTTGACTGCACTTTGGGAAACGTACGCACGCTTTTTGGGGAAATATCTTGATTTGTTTTTGCGCGCCGAGGTACACATCCGCAATGGAGAAAGTCTTACAGCTAAGATAGGTCTGAGAGTATATCGGTTTGTCAGGGGTTGGCATGATGATGCTGTGTTGTCCATTGCGCACGATGTTCTCTTCACAAGCACACTCCCTAGCGCAAACCTTTTGAGGCATCCATAGCTGGGCGGGTATTGTTTGTTTGGATTGAGATCAAGTCTGTCCAACACGTGAGTTCATCACCATGCATCCCATACCACAGTAAGCTGCATGTTGTCAACAGAATTGCAATCAAATCAGAGCAGTTTCAAAAGTCTACTTAAGCGTCGCTGTAGATTGAGAACTTTCACGCTGGCATCCATAGACACTGCTTGGCCAGCACGTGAGACCAGCGAAGCCATGCGGAGGAACCTTTACTTGCGCCATACTGACAGTGCTTCATAAACACTTAAACTTGATTTACTGAATGCCAACCCTGTGATATTGGTGTAGTGCTAGAAGTTTCCGGGGCTCCTTCAAGGGATTCCCAGAAGGAATATCCCTACAGCGGCCCCTAATTTTTTTCCCCCAAGAAGATTGTAGTTTTCATTTCTTTCCACTCCTCCCTTCCCCATCTTTTTCTTTTCCTTCATTCTCGTAATAATGTGGTAATAATGTCCATATTATGTTCCATTCCTCCATTCCTTACTCCGCTCCTCAAGGAGCTCTCGTTAACCCTAGACCCTAAGAACAAAACCCAAACGCCCTAAACCTGAAACCCTCAAACCCTAATCCCTAAACCCTACATCTCCTTACATCCCCCTACGTCCCTCCAATATAACCCTATATAACACCTAAACTCTGAAACGAGTCTCCTGGTTCCTTCAGGAGCTCAGCGACCTGCAGCTCCGGCAGCTTGGCCGCCTGCGCCTGGCGGCCTTCGGTACCTGGGATCGAGGCCGGTTGGAGAGGGAGGGAGTTTAGGGGGTCCAGGGTGGAGGGGGGGGCTTTGGGATTTACGCCAGTTTACGCTGTAGGGATCTTTAGGATTTCGGGGGGAGGGGAGTTAGGGATATTTAGGGATGTTTAGGTTCAGGGTTTCGGGGCTTTGGGCCTAGGGATGTTTAGGGTTTAGAGTTTGGGTGTTTAGAAAGGTTAGGGCTTATGACGTTTATGGTTAACGGCATGTTTCTTGTAAGAGTTAGGGGTACTTGGAGGTTCATGGTTATTACAGCTACCCATGAACCTCCAAGTAGCCAAGATTTCCAAAACCCCTTAATCAAGCAAGCTACACAACATCACTACTATGAAGCCTATTATAATTTGGGGTAGGATAGACTCCTTCCTTCGAACGTAGCGGAACTTATGGAATTCTGGGCATGGATGCAGTGTCGTTCTGGATGGTTCTCTGAATTTCATTGTTGAGCCATAGTCGAAACTCCTAGTATCCACCTTAATACCCCCTATAGCCCTATAGCAGTCCCCTATATAATCCCCTATATAACCCCCTTTAAGGAGTTTAGACTATAGCTCATTTCCTTTGCGGGAAATCTGAAAATGCGCAGGCAGGGCAGGTCAGTGCTCCGGTGTTGCAGAGTTCCCCTCGGGATATCTGCCACAGTAGGATGAAAGCCGTGTGCCCGTGATGATAGCAAGCTCAGAACCCTATAAAGCGGCATGTACCCCTACATAACACCTACATCATCCCTACAAACTCCACAGGAAGGACCCTAACATCCTTTCGTATTTCCAATGTGTCCAGGCGCAGTAAGAGTACACTTATTTTGAGAAAATTCACAATGACCTGTCAAACGGCGGGTTGCTGAACTGATTTGCTTTCACACCCTTAAACAGCACAACCTTTCCTGCACGTGCATTTCCGTTTGGCTATTGCTAGGGCTACCAAAACATGAAAACATTGGCTGCTGCAACTAGGGTCCTTAGTTTGGGTAACCAGCTTTATCCCCTGATCCTTCAATTCTATCATCCTGAGTGACAATCGTTACGTACCATCGGCTGGTGTAGGTTCTTGGTCCAGTGTTTCGTTGTTTGGAGCCTGGAGGTCTTCACTGGGGGAACGGAGGGGGTTCTGCCGGCAACCAGGTTCCAGACTCCGCGAGCTGCCATGGGCGGGCGCTCAAGCTGCAACGTCCCATTCCCTACTCAGGAATAGTTCGGATTTGGGGAATGGATCCCTATAACAATCCCAAAAGCCTCCCCGTATGAAAAAATCATACTCCCTACAACGCATTCTTGGGGTTTTAGATCAAATAAATGAGTTTTGCCAGACTGCTCCAAAGGCTGCCCATCCTGCGCAGAAATGATCAACGTGCAAACAGGTTGGTGGAACAGACAGGCCAAAGAGTCATCGGCAACCCAACTTCAAATATCCTGCCATTAGCGCAATCTGTTGACGTAATCTTGAGACCGAAAACCCCCAAAGATGTCAGAGGGCACGCTCTGCAGGAAACTGAAGAGTCTCAATACTGTAGTTACTCGTAGCCCACTACTTCAAACTTGTAGGCTTGAGGGTTCAGGGATGACTCTAGCGACTACTGTGAACACTGTAGCCTCATACGTTATCTGCATGCAGTCCCTGTGATACTACTGAACCCTCTGTGTCCTCTCTCCCTTAGTCGTCCCTAAGCCCGCGATTCTAAGACGTGCAGCCTAGAACCTGGAACTAGAGCATTGTGTACAATCACGGACTCTAAGCCGTACGGCCTAAGAGCTAAAACCCTAGTAGCGTTTGCAATGAGGAATCCTACCACATGACTTTGCTCTCAAGCCAGAAACTTTTACCACCCAAACTTGGACCTAGCTAGGGAAAAACCAAGCTGTCCCTTTTCCCTACGTATACCTACCATTATGAACCACATTAGTGTTTTGTAATCTTGCCAAGGCACATGCTTCCACTTCTACGTGCAGCTGGGTTCCGAGGGGCGCGAGTCCTTCCAGCTACTTGAGGAGCCTTCTTCGGTTTTAGGGTTTAGGGTTTAGGGTCGGTTTCAGATTGTCAGTACGGAAAATTGAAGCTCTCATGGGGTTTAGTCTTCGGTTTTGGATTGTCAGTAGGGAATGGAACGAAAATTGAAGCTATGATGGGGTTTAGGGTTCTAATTTAGAGTTGTTAGCAGGGAAGGGAGAAATGGAAAGGAAATTGGGATCCTCTCACTTGGAGTTTAGGTTTTAGGGTCGTTTGTAGGGAACGGAGAAAGGGATCCTTATAGCAGCCACCATACAATCTCCAAATGTACAGTAGTTTCTACTGCTTTTCCGTATTTTGAAGACAGGCTCATGGTTTAGGAGTTCTAAGTTTGGGGTTTCAAGCTTTGGGGCGTCACCGTTCAGTGTCTTGGGTATGATTCTGATCAATAGCTGAGACGCTTAGACTTTTACGTTTCGAGGGCCGAACGTTCGCGGCCGTTTCGGTCTGCCCTCTGTATAGTAGTGCATGCGATGATGTCCCAAACGCACCCATACTTCAGGGGCACAAAGTAGCCAGCAAATGCGATTCTTTTTTCCGCATCTGACGATATCTATTTGGACGTTTTGGAAGGCCTACGGTCTATTGCCAATCCTTCACTTCAGACTCCCTTTTGAGAGCTACAGGGTTCCAGCATGGGCATGCGGGACCAGAGCTCAGTAGGTCAAGGAAGGTGACGATCTGCTTTCAGTTTTGAACCTCGTGAAGGTTTCCTGCGGTCTTGATAGGCTTGGAGCAGTGCTTTCCTATCAATATTTGCTATGTGCACTTCAGCTTTCAGGGCTGGGGGCTTGGCAAATGTTGATAACGGATGAACGGCGTCAGGCTTGGGGAGTAGTCGTGGCGCCGTCCGCGGATTGACACCGATGTTTGGCGCCAAAAATTCCCTCGACAGCGTGCCGCGAACGCTAGCCTTTGCATCTAAACAGCGTGAACCCATAACTGACCTGACCGTCCATCCTTTCTTACGTATGACGGACTACAAGTCCATGTGCAGGATTTCAACTGGAACAGAGTCATACACCCATCGGCAGCTGGCCTGCAGTGAAGTTCAGATCAGTCCAAAGGTCAGGAGGGTGGCGTTTCACCTAAGATCACTGTGTCTTGTTCGATTTCAGTTGCTCATTGGTTTTACGACGAGAACAGAACAACTTCGCCATTACTCACAAGATGCATGTATGCAGGTTTGGGACCACGTTTGGGTGGCAAGTTATACTGAGGGCAAGATGATCTTGGGGCTGTTCAGGGTAGCGTAATTTCAGGCATTTCGCGGCATTTCACATGAGTCTGGTAAGAAGAGTGAAGCTGCGAGCATCCCCAAACAGCAGAACCCTTGTTCCAAGAAATCCCAGATGGGATGGGATGGCCATGGGAGTTTCCAAAAATGAGAGAGTCTTTTTGGGAAGTCCCTGGAACAAATATAATAATATTTTTGGCTTGCATAAGGGGGACCCGCTTTTGTTGAAACTCCCAAATGTTCCCAAGGATGTCCCGCATTCTGCCGAGGTTCCCCACGCGCGTTCTGCCGTCGAGCACAAGGCTGCTAGTTCTGTTGATTAGATGAGCTATAGTCTAAGCTCCTTAAAGGGGGCTATATAGGGGATTATGTAGAGGACTACCTTAGGGACCATTAAGGGGAATACCAGGAGTTTAGACTATGGCCCAGATGACCTAAAGCAATTTCTGGCATTGTTCCTGCGCAACCCTATCATGTTAACAAAGCTCATGCCAATTCAGCCCTATGTGTATGAGGGGTTTATGACGACCTTCACTCCTGTGGCAATAACACCTCCATCCCACATCAGCTTTAGATACACTAGAGTATACTACAATATGTACTATTACTATAATATAGTATAATATACTACAATATACTATAATTTATTTATTTCCTTATTCAAACCCACGTACATTGGTGGACAAATCTCATTTCAGGAGACGGGGGTGTTGCATGTGAGGCGGTCAGACTTGCAAAGGAGATTGCAATTCTTCCTACAAGATGAGCACACACATCACATACCCGCAGGTTTTTCTAAAATCCTAAACCCCAAACTCTTTACCCTAAACCCTCAACTTTAAACCCTAAATGACCCCACACTGTAAAACTGTAAATCCCTCAGCCGCCATCTCCGAAGCCCAAACTCTAAATCCAAAAAGCTTGCACCTAACAAGCCACAGTTCCCAAACCTTACTGGGGAGTTAGTAGGGAATAAGGGAATATATTTTATGGTATATAGGCTCATTGTAGTAGGGAATAAGGCGATAGATTTTATAGGAATTTTAGGGGTTATATGCCCTTCTTCCCTACTGACCACGGCCTGGCCCCCCCCCAACCCTAAAACCCTAAACCCTGAATCCTAGACCCTAAACCCCAGCCCGCCCCCATTCCTCAAAGATTGTCTCCCCTTGCTTTTGCAGGTTCTAGGCCCGGAGGTCGGCGATGCTAAGACCCGAGGCAGGGGATGCAATAATATAGGGGTTTAGGGTTTAGGGTTTGGGGTTTAGGGTTTAGGGGTTTAGGGTTTAGGGGTTTAGGGCTTAGGGTTTAGGGTTTGGGGACAATTGTCCATATGAGTAGTATCTTATTTGGGGATACTATGGTACCCATTATAGGGTAAGATTCTATCCTCCTTTTGGGGTATAGATTTTATATAAGGAATACAACCAAGAAAACGCTACTCATATGAGCTACTGTCAATCTTAGCCTTACTAACAGACCCTGAACAGTGGACATAGGGGTCCCTCTTGTAGTTTAATATAGTCCCTAATAGAGTCACCAATGTAGGAATTATTGACTTTAGCCCCTCTGAGCCACAATCTAAACTCCTTGAAGGGGGTTACGGAAGGGTTCATATACGGGACTACCATAGGGCTTATTAAGGGGGATGCTAGGAAATTAAGAAGGATACTTATAACACGGGGCTATTGTTAGTCTAATTAAGAATGATACTACTAGTACTGGGTTATATAGTGCTTAGGATATTAGACCACGTATGAAGAATGAAATGAAAAATGGAACTGGAACTGCTCTTCTGGCTGTAGGGTTTAGGGAATGCAGAATCACGGACCTGTTCAGCTCCGATTGTCCCCCCACGCCTGTTTAGGGTTTGATTTCCGAAAGTATGTTTGGGGGCATGTTAGGGGGGATTTACATTTCGCACCCGCATCTCATGAGGCGAAGACATAGCATACCATCTTGGTTGCCGCACGCCTGGTACAGACCTGAAAAGGGAGAACGAGCTGTTTGGCAACGTTAAGCCTAAGCACGCCTTCTACCCAAGGAGCAGGATTGAAACATCACGGTTTCTATGGCATGCAGCGGTGTTACTTTTTCTAGGCACTCCAGTAGTACCCTTTTTCCCTTTTTGCTTCGGGGTCTCCTTATGAAAGCTGAACATTAGGAAGCAGGGTACCCTTGTGAAGGGGTTAGTGAGGAGCCTAATTTCCTATCATTACAAACCAGCTCATCACTCCGACCTAAACCCTAAACCCTGATTGCATCTGCCAGGCTTGAACTGGACCATTGGCCTTGACGGCTATGAGAAGCCAGGCGACGTTTTCGAGCCTGGGCTGCAAGGGGCGTTTGGGAGATCCAGGGTAACCAGGGTTCAGAGCAGGTTTTGGACTTCAGGGTTTCAGGTTTAGGGTTTAAGGTTTAGGGTCTCAGGTTGGGTAGTTTAGGGTTTAAGGTTTAGGGTTTAGGGCCTAAGGTTTAGGGTTTCGGGGGTTCAGGTTGAGGTTGGAGCTAAAGACCCCAAAGCTCGACCCAATCCGGAAAGCTTGAACCACAAACCTCTGACCCAAAACCTCGTCCTTCCTCCAACGACTGCAAAAGTCTCACCCCAAAGCAAAATGCCTCAGCGCTTATGATCCTCCCTAATATGAGCCCCCCCCCCCCAATCCCAATTATGCCACCAATGTATTCACGTATAGCACCAATACATATTAGGAGGAGCTTGTCAGGAAGTTTCATCCCTAAAAAGGACCCACCTTGTAGTCCCTATAGACCCCTAGCTTCCATCTCATATTCGATTTCCATTGGATTCTCCATTCTTGAGGCGTAATGCCCCCAAAAAACTAAACCCCAAATCCCTAAACCCATAGAATCCCCATACGCCCTGTCAGGAAGTTTCAGTCCACGGCGAGACTTCGAGGGTGGAGCGGGTGCGGTGGCAGCGCATCGATCCTGTGATTGGGGAGCCTTGGCTGGCTTTCCTATGAGCCATAATAGGGTTTAGGGTTTAGGGGTTTAGGGTTTAGGACTTAGAAAGTCCCCCTGACCCTCCAAGAAGCGACTCGCAGCTCACCGTAGGGTATATATTGGAGTTATATAGGGGTTAAATAGGGATAATGGAAAAGAAAATGGAAGCCCTAGGTCCCTTTCAAGGGATATATTGGGGTTATATAGGGGTTACATAGGGGTAATGGGACAGAAACTGGAAACTACTATAATATACTAGGGCTTATATAGGGTTATATAGGGGCTAAATAGGGGTAATGGGAAAGAAAATGGCAGCTACTATAATATACTAGGGCTTATATAGGGTTATATAGGGGTTATACAGGGGAAATGGGAAAGAACATGGAAGCTACAATTAAGGATCAGGGTTTAGGGCTTCCACAAATTAGGGGTACCATTGCAAGCTATAGCAACACCGATCGCAGGCCATGGATCTTTCACAAACCTTCACCTTTAACAAGAGTCCTTTTTTGTGGAAAAAAAATTGCTACAAGCACAAGGCCTTTGCGCCAGAAGCTGCTCATGTAATCCTCGCACAATCCTCACTCAGTCTGTGTATAAATAAGCCCAAGGTTTGCGCCAGATACTCTCTGCATAGCTTGGTTGTCTGCATAGAGTCCTAGAGCCGCTGTTGTTCTTATGATTATTTACGAAATGCTGCGGTCAGATAGCGTTATTGTAATCTGGTAGAATTCACACTGTATGAGCCCGGAAACTGAACCTTCGAACCCAAGCTCCTAA